CTCAGTTTACAAGTCTAGTATCAGTATAGGACAATAGCATGTATAAGTCCCAGTACCAGTTAACAGTTAAACTCCTGATCCTCAGTCATTAGGTCCCTTAACATTAGGACAACAAAACTCTCCTAGGATCACTAGTTCCTAGTCACAGCAAGCCACAGTGGCTACAGCAGTAGGTAACCAGATCCCAGGCAAAGAATCTCCTTTGCTTCAATAAGATCCATGCTTACAACAAGAACAAAAGAACCAATCAGTGGTTCAACAGATCCTCCTACCAGTATTGTGCCAATTCATTGTGTCAAAATAGGAGCAGAGATAAAACTATCCCAAAGGCCACACCAATCCTAACACCTGTTGGAAGTAAAGACAATCATCATTCAGTAGTACCCCCACTAGCAGAGAAGTCCTCCCCTACACCGTCATACCTTACCCCTGCTGCAGTGTCATCCAGTAGAAGTGTAGTAACCCCTACACCCCGCACATCACCACTTCAATTAACCACCAAACCCTTGCCAAGTGAATTGACAGACACCAGCCCTACAGTCAGACCCAGTTTCTTCTCAGGAATCTTTGATTCACCTGAACCAGTCAACCCACCAGTCCCAGTAGAGGAACAACACCCAGTTCCTGTCCCAACAGAACCCAAGCCAGAACTGCCCAGATCCCCAGTCAATCCCAACCCAGAAGAAGATCCTGCTGACAGGAACCCGAACAACCCAGAAGACAGTGACCCAGAACCCAGTGATCAAGAAGAAGAAGGAGACATGTCTGACAACAACAGTGGAGCGGTAAACAAGCCCAATCAATTTGAAGGAGACAAGGGAAAGAGCAAGGAATTTCTGGACAAATTATACCTATACTTTGCTGGGAATTCCAAGAAGATCCAGACTGACAAAGATAAGGTTCAATGCAGTCTTTCATATATCGAGAGACCTGCCCAATTCTTTGTTCACACCATCATCACTGATGTGGAAGAACCCATATCTGACTCCAAAGATGCACCTCTCAAAGGATTACCTAGCTGGGCTCAATTTAAGAAGTCTTTCATCCAAACCTTCAGAGTAGAAGATGATACTCAGGCAGCATTAAATGAGATCAGCAAATGTACCTGGGTAAAGTGTGGAGGAAATGGTCTTTGATTTGTCACAACTCTTCAACCCCTCTACAGGCTAGCAGATTAAACGAGTTAGGGCAAATTCAAGAACTCCAGCATCTTATTCCTCCTGCTCTCCTGATCAAGATTGCCGCCCAACTGCTGCTACCAGTTACCACAGTAGGATACCTCAACAGTGTTCAATCCATCTGCCAATCTATGATTGACATCTTTGGTGATAAACCCTTATTCATGCCATCCACCAATCACTCTTTTGGTCGCAACAAGTTTGTACATTGCAACTGGGTAGTTGAGACCAGGGATGGATCATCAAAGGAAACATTGTCTAACAATCAGTGCATCAGATGCCTGTTAGATAAAGATCACAAAGAGCATATGGAGAAGAAGCTATGTTTCAGATGTCACAAACCTGGGCACCAAAGCTGTTAATGCCCAAATAATTGCATCAGGGCGATTGAATCATACAACACATCCACTCAGGAGAAGGATGAGACCAAGGATTCCTCCAACAAAGAAGGGATAGCCGAAGAATACATTCAGGCTATTCCCTCCAAGAAGGATTTTTGAAGTCTTCGACCATTGTGACATCAAGTCAAAGTAATGGCACTAGGAATTATTTATATCAGGCAAAACTAGCTCATAAATCTATTTATTTGCCCTGCATATTAAAAACCTATGCCACAACCGTCAGAACTGAGGCATTGCTTGACACAGGAGCAATGGAGAATTATATTGACATCCAGTTTGCCCAAGACCATGGTCTTCAACACCAGAGCATCACACCCAGACCTGTGTTTGGTGTAGACGGATCACCAAATAAAGCTGCATCCATTAAACACAAAGTCTTCTTCACTATATCCTTATCTGGACAACCAATGAAGATAGAAGCTTATGCCACAGTACTGAATAAGAATCCAATCATCCTAGGACTCTCATAGTTCAAATGTTTCAATCCAGTAATTGACTGGATCACAGGGAAAATGCACTTTTGTTGGGATCAACTTCTATGAGCGATCAAGACCCTTGTTAGCAATATTCTGGAATACCTGAAGAATTTCCTTTCTGTGTTCAACAAAAGCACAGCCAAACACCTGCCAGAACAGAAACCCTGGGACCATGCAATCGATTTAGAAGCCAACTTCAAACCCCAATGAGGAAAGGTTTACCCTTTATCACCTGCAAACCTCAAGGAGTTGGATGCCTTTATTGAGGAGAACTTAAGAAAAGGCTATATCCATTCATTAAAGTCCCCTATGGCATCTCCATTCTTCTTCATCAACAAGAAATCAGGAGATCTACAACCATGCCAAGACTACAGGAAACTCAATGATGCCACCATCAAGAACACCTACCCCATTCCACGAGTAGAAGATCTACTAGATCATATCACCTCTGCCAAATCCACCATGTTCACCAAGCTTGACTTATGTGCAGGATACAACAATGTACGTATCAAAGAAGGTGACAAATGGAAGGGAGCTTTCATTACTCCACAAGAGTTATTCGAGCCAACAGTCATGTTTTTTGGAATGACAAATTCCCTGGCAACCTTCCAAGCTATGATGGATGGCATCTTTGCAGATTTACTACTAGAAGGATGGTTGGTAATCTACATATATGACATTCTGATCTACTCTACCGATCATGCAGAACATCAACAATGCACTCAAATGGTTCTCCAGCATCTGAAAGAATCAAATCTGTTCCTCAAACCAGAGAAGTGTTTCTTTGACGTATCTGAAGTAGAATTTCTAGGGTTGATTCTTCGACCAAGTCAAATTGGAATGGCCAAGGATAAGGTGTCAGCAGTACTCAATTGGCCAAAGATCGACAGCATTAAAGCACTACAACAGTTCCTAGGCTTTGCCAATTTCTACCAATGATTCATTCCAGGATACTCTAAAGTCACAAGACCACTCTTTGACTTACTGGTAAAAGGTGTCAAGTGGAGTTGGACAGATGATCATGATAAAGCCATCAATCAACTCAAGGAATGTTTCAAGACACAATCCCTTTTGGTACAACCTGATGTCACTAAACCATTTCAGATAGAGTCAGATGCTTCCCTGAAAGCTTCAGGCAGCATCCTATCTCAGAAACAATCTGATGGGAAATAGCATCCATGCTGCTTTCCTATCCCAGTCCTTTTCTCCCATAGAACAACGGTACGAAATCTATGATCGAGAACTCTGCAATTATCAGATGTTTCAAAGCCTGGCAACACTACATTGAAGGATGCACCAAACCAGTGGAAGTACTAACAGATCATATGAATCTCACCTATTTCAAAGATCCCCAGAAATTGAATCCTCAACAAGTGCGATGGGCGCTGTATCTGTCTATATTCAATTACTGTCTTCTCCACATCCCAGGAACTCGTTTGGGCAAAGCAGATGCCCTATCACGTATTGATCAAGATGCATCTGAAGGGGG